GTTTAGGGTTTAGGGTTTATTGCGAGCAGGGGGGATCCTTCCTTTGGGTTTAGGGTTTAGGGCTTAGGGGCCCTGTGTCTGTGTGGGTTCCATGGATCTTAGAAGGTTTCGTACGGCTAGAATGCAGGGCCCTGCAGAGTTCGCATAAGGTTGGTTTGTGTGGTATACTATAGTATAACTGTCGCGGGACTATTCATGACATAAACTAGAAGGCTTACAAAACATCAATCAAGCATTCAGGGTTTTAAATTGTGGGTTCAGTTGGCTTCAGGGGATTAGCGTTATCGTTGTGTTGGTTCTTTTTTTTGAGCCGGGGGATGAGCGGGGGTGGGATGGGGTTGAAAGAATAGAGGTTTGCTAAATGTATTATACGCTCCCGCGTCGCTGCATCAGTGCCCCCCCCCTCCCACAGCCGCCAAGCCAGGCCTCTCAGCCGAGCAAACAGGCAAGGGATGGTGCTCGTCCGCGTCATCATCCTCGTAACTGTCGACATCCTTTTGGAACTCTCGCGCCAAATCGCGCAGCCCCCGCCTCACCCCCTCCTCGCACAGATGAGAATGATGGCGATGATGCTGTGGACAACGAGGCTGAAGTGCTTCTTGCGTGCTGGTATTTCGAGTGTAGTTAACGATTGGTGGCACCACTGCTCTTATGCTGTTCTGCCCTTAGGCACCGCATTTTCTTTACTTTTATTTGTTTCAAAAGCCTGTTTGGCTTGATGTTCTGGATTTTTTAGTTTGTATCGTTCGTTGTCATTCTATGCTCAGTTTCGGTTGGGTGTGTTAAAGTCAGCCCGAGCATGTGCTTGAATGACTTTCATTCAGGACTCTTAAGCAAGGGACCGGAGGAGCCTGCCGACAGGGATCGTGCTCGCCACCTTCGAGTCGGGGACGGGGGGGAACCCACGCACCAAAACAAGCCACAGGGGGAGGGGGGGCCTGGCAGCACCACGTACCGGCTTTCGGAGATCGAGGCTCAGCGCGAGTTCGGTTCAGGGGCTCAGGAGAAGCTGAAGCTTGCGAGCTTTGGAACTCCTCCGAGCTGGCCGGCATGGGGTTCAGCAGCAAAGTCAAACCTCCCTAAAGCCCTAAACCCTAAACCCTACACCCCTACCCTGCCAAGAAGTCCCAGAATCTTTTGGGCATGCCCCGTAGCGGATATGGCCAGCTCCCCACAGCCGGTGCGAAGGAGGCCGAGAGGATCCTAAGCCTCAGTAAGTAGCAAAAGAAGGAAAAGCTAATAGTAGCTAACCCATGGGCCCCTAAGTAGTTCCTTTTTATGGTTTCTATTTAGAATCCTATAAAGAAGGAAAGTTAATCGTAACTAATATAGGGGCCTTAATAATTAGAATAGGGTTTTGGGGCCCATTATACTAATTATTGAGGCACCTCTACTAACCCTAAACCCCAAATCCCTTAACTTTTAGAGTGCTTGTGACTGTACTTATATCATAACCTACTTAAGCTCAATCCTGGAACTGCAACATCCCAAGCCGCAACCGCTTTGTCAGCTCGAAAGCTTTGAGAGACGGCTCAAGGCCTGGGTGCATCCCCTCAACACGTGTTCATGCAAGCCCGAAGTGGCGATCCTGTAGTGTTCTCAGAGGTCCTTCGGATTGAGGGTTTAAGGTTTAGGGTTTAGGGGTGTAGAGCAAAGACTGAAGCTCTAAACCATAAACCCCTAAACTCAACCCTAAGTCCTAAACCCTACCTAAACCCTACCTTGACCCTAAGTCCTAAGTCCTAAACCCAACCTAAAACCCTAAAAACTCCAGACGCTAAGACCCCGGCTGCCCCCGCTTCTCCGTGCACCTCTGAGGATTCCGGCCTCTTCACGCCCGTCGACTACGAGGCAGCCCTCCGAGAACTTGAGGAGGGTTTGGGGACTAAGGTTGTAGGGCTTAGGGTCTTTGGGTTTTGGGTTTTGGGTGAGAGGGTTTGGGGACTAAGGCTTTAGGGCTTAGGGGTGTTGGGTTTAAGGGGGTTTGGGTTTAAGGGTTTGGGGACTAAGGTTTTAGGGCTTAGGGGTTTTGGGTTTAAGGGTTTTGGGTTTAAGGGTTTAGGGACTAAGGCTTTAGGATTCAGGGAATAAGGTTTAGGGTTTAAGATTTTAGGGATTAAGGTTTTAGGGTTTTGGGTTTAAGGGTGTAGGGTTTGGGGAATAAGGTTTTAGGGTTTTGGGAAAAGGGTTTCGGGATTAAGGTTTTAGGGTTTTGGGTTTAAGGGTTTAGGGTTTCTACAGTTTGGGGTTTAGGGGTTTAGGACCCCCACAGACAGGGCGCGAGGGGGGGCTGTTTGGTTGGAAACCCTTGCGGCCGTTTCGGGTTTAGGGGTTTAGGGTTAGGGGGTGTAGGGTTGGGTTTCGGGCTTAACAGTTGGATGAGGCTTCGGGGGTATCTTATAGTAGAAAATCTTTTAGGGACTATGAGGGATTAGTTTTACTAACATGGTTGAACTGTGTCATGGAGTCTCCGCTTTCGGTTCTGCGATTGACGTTTTGGTTTTGCTGTACGGCTCTCATCGTAAGACCCTTCAGAGTCCACAGCAGATTTCGAAGTAGCGCGGCGGATGCCGCTTGTTGACTTGCAATGGTCGGTGTATCCATGGCACTTTGGATTCCCTTCACCGAGCTTCTAAAACCCTTAATTCCTGAAAGCCTTTTAAACCCCGAGCCGAAGAACCCGACAAACCCACCACGCTCCACAGCCCAAGACCTAAAGCCATCACAGCCCAAACCCTACGGATCCCCCCCCCAAGCCCAAGCGAACCGAGACCTGAAGCCTAAGGTCAGGTCGGGACCCGTGAGCTGAAACTCAACCTCCGGGGACCCTGAACCCTTATAACTTATAAGGTTTAGGGTTCAGGATTCATGACTTATAAGGTTTAGGGTTCAGGATTCATAACTTATAAGGTTTAGGGTTCAGGATTCAGGGTTCATGCTTCAGTGTTTAGGGCCCAGGGCCATGACAATGACAAACAATGATCTTTCATTGTAACATACTCCCTGGTTATACTAGTGCGCATATGAAGACTCGATATTCTTTTGCACCTGCATGTGTTGCCCGTTTCTCAGTTTGCGTATTTGGTGATTGTCGTGTTCTTCTTTGCGGCATAGGGTTGTATTCTTACTTGGCTCACTTCTTTACTGCCATACTACCAGTCGGCGCTGAGATTTACAGCCGACCACGCTGGTAGACTGGTATTCTGCATGGAGTGATTCGTCAGTACACCGCTGCATTTTCAGCATTGTTGCATCATTAGAATCTGAACTGGTTTTATGCTTGCAATGGAATAATGTTTCTCGAGTAGAGTTGCGCGTGAGACGACCTGCACTTTAAGCCCCAAAGCCCTAGAGCAATGGTTGTTCTGTCAGAACTTGTCCAGTAAACCCTAAAGCCTTAAACCTCTAAACCCTAAACCCTAGGCGTGACAGGACTCTCAGAAAGCTATGATCCAGTTGCCCAAGCGTCTTGTATCCTAACCAGGCAGCACTGAACCCCACCACGAGCCTGTCACCGCACGATGCTGCTTGGCCGGCGAGGTTTGAAGTCCACTGCGTTTGCCCTTTGAGAAGACTGGTTACTTGACGAGTTTGCCGTCCCACTAGTGCAAAGCACGCATACCCTGAGTCTCCAATGTGCTTCCCCTCTCTGTGTGGGTAGGATCCACACATATAGAACCCAGGGTACCCAAACAGGAAAGGAGACTAAAGGTAGCTACCTTCAGCGTTTGGGGCCCGTTTCGATCGTACTGAAGAGGTGGCATGCTGAAGGTAGGAGGCGGACGTAGTACCTGCGTACTTAGACCTTTAACTGAACCCTGAACCTAAACCCTTAAAAACACGTAAACCCTGAACCATAGAAAAACACACCTAAACCTGTACCATTACGTTAAGGTGTAGGTCACGGCCAGGGTTTGTTTTAACAGAGTGCGATATGTAGCTTTGCTTTTGCGACAGACGTGGTCGTTTCGAGCCTTCGAGCAATGCTTCTTGACAAAGGGGCTACGTTGCTAGAGCTGCTGCGTAGCGTGGGGATCCTCCTCCTACTACTTACTACTCATACTACGACAGCTACTACGACGACGACTACTACTGCTACTACTAGAGACGGGATTGCATCATTTTCTGAAACTTCTCCACATCTCAAAGATCCGGCCTGGGCTGGGGCTGAGGAATTCCCATTCCACGTAGTATATGATGCTACATTATCTTATATCATAGTATATCAGTATATTAATGAACAGTATACTATAGTATATTACAGTATAGCACAGTATATTATCGTATGTTCTACTTTATAGCATATCATCGTCAGACCCTCCGTCGTCTTTCGACGCTCTGCCTCTCCTCTCGGCAGCGGCCATGAGCCCCCAGACCCAGACACCCCGAACATTCCCGAATCTCCACAAGGGCTCGGCGGACGTAAGCATGGAGAAGGACGTTGCATACACCGGTGCCACGCAGTTCGCGTGGATGCCCAGGAGAGAGCTTCGCAAGGCTGAGGTATGTAGCTTCCGTGTTGCAAGATTGGGGTTGTGCTCATGGCCAACACCACAGAACAAGTGTTGCTGAGAAATGACAGCGGTGTAGCTTGGCGCGGTGGATAGGGAGCATCTGAGGGAGCGGGCATGAGGAGCAAGATTTAGTGATCAAAAGGAGTTTTGTGCTCCCAGGTACAGGAGTAGCAGTGGTGGCAACCACGATATTTAATTAGTGGTCGTAGTCATTGCCATAGTGGGAGTGGGAGCGAGTAGCAGTAGCAGCTGCTGGTGGTAATGCAGCTGCTGCAGCTGCTGACATGTCGACCGCCGCATACGACTCCTTCTAGTTCTGGTGTTGTGGAAGTTGCACTGTCGTGCTAGCGGGCGTTGCATCCCGCTCGTTGTAGTCGCAGTTGTGCTAGCGAAGCCGCCGTTGCCGAAAGACGAGTGGGGTTCACCTTCCCAGGTTTGGCGGAATGTGCTGATTCCCGCAGAGTGCTTAGCTAGGCTGGGGCCCCAAGCGTGGCTGAGCTGGGCGAATGGGTTTGGCTTTAGGTTCGCGGTTCAGGTTGGTTTCGTAGGTTGTGGTTGTTGCGTAAATGGTTGCAGAAGCATAGATGTTTTTTTCTAGTTTGCTTCTTGGATATTTGACGTCTTCCAACAGTCCGAGCTGTTTCAGAGACAATATGTTGATTGTCAAGCTTTGTTGCAGTTGAGCTTTCGGTTGTGGGCGGCTACGGCCTTCTTGTGTACATAGGACTGAGATGCAGTCACATGGGAAAGTTAAGTAAGTTGCTTATGCCCGGGTCCAGCATGGCCGGGTCTTTCGTGCAAAGACGTCGCAGCTAAAGGTACACGTAGTTCCCAGGTCAGGTGTTGACCAGCTGCAGCCTAGAGAATTGCAAAGCGACCTGTCAGGTGTCGAAATGACGCTCGCTGCCGGGTTTGGGTTCTTGACACCCAGTCGTACGAGCGCGGTTCTCGGACCATTCAAGGTTCCATCGTCTGTGTTACACAAATTGCAGCCTTGTCAGCATTTTGCACGGTGGGTATTGGCTGAATGCCTCAAGACTCCCGATGCGTAGGCAGCCAATGGACGAGCATGCACTTCTCCAGCTTTCCAGCATCCAGTTTTCCTTGGACTGCCAGAAACAGTGACAAGAGGTTGGTTGACCACCACCACCACCACAACATCATCATAAGAGTGTCATCGACTTCATCAGAATCCATGCTACCCTGTGTGCATGCGCTGTACACCGAGAAGTATGACGGAACACCGCATACTCCCAAGCATCCTTTTGGCTCAGGTGTAGCCTCAAATGGGTGGAGCCGAACGAGCGCGTCCAGAAGGCGCCTCGCAAGTAGGGAGCCTTTCTAGCGCCGGTGCATCACTTCGGGAGCGATAGTTTTTTTCCCTGCTACCAAGTACTCCTACCAGTACCGGTACAGGTAATTACCGTTAGTCCTGCTCTGAAGGGTGAATTTCTATCACCCTGAGCCCCAAGCCCGATTCTTGCTAAGAATATCTGCAGCCTGTGGAGGTTTCGAAACCAGGGAGCGTGAGCGGCCTGCCGTTTCAGTGGAACAAGCCACGCCCCAAGAGTGCAACGCCTTGTGTAGGGTACAGGGTTTAGGATGCAACGCCTCGCAGGTGCGGTTCTCGTCCGGCTCGGTGCTTTTTGTTTGAACTTTTGTGTTTTCTGTGGGCGGAGTACCAGGCTGGGGCGCTCGATGATGGCAGGTGACGGTGAGTAATCGGCCATTGCGGACTCATGGGGAACAGGTCTCCGCGTTGGGTTGCTACTCAATGCCTCCGCGCGCGACAATGATAATGACGACGACTACCCTTGCTGCTGCTCCACACTATCGCGCTGCTACTACCACCTGCTGCTGCTGCTGCTACTACTACTACTACTACTACCACCACTACTACTGCTACTACTACCACTACGACTGCTACTACTACTACTACTACTACCACCACTACTACCACTACTATCACTACTACCACTACTACCACTACCATTACTATTACTGCTGCTGCTGCTACTACTATACTACTACCACCACTACTACCACCACTACTACTACTACGACGACGACGACTGCTACTGCTACTAAATTTGCTGCTGCTATTAGGCTATTGCTACTAGCACTCCTGCTCCTACTCCTACGGCTACGGTTGCTGCTGCTGATGCTGCTGCCTGCTACTACTAGTACCAGTACGTCCACTACGCTGCGAACACTAATGCTGCTGCTGCAGCAGTACTGCTACGACCGCTTCTCGTACGAATACCACACCTCAATAAGTTTCGCGACCGTTGTTCCTGTCGGCGGCAGCCAAGTTTGTTTCGCATGTAGTGGTGCACCACAGCCTTCATGTGTCACGTTGTGTCACCAGGCCACATACCATCTTCTGCTATGCAGTCATGCGCCCTGGCACCTACGAGCAAGGCACGGCCTCGCGTGGGTTTTAGCAGCGTGCGGGATGAAGAGGCATTCAAAGGTTAGAAGGCCGCAAGACTTGGGTTCCGAAGATCTCAGTGGGCATCGGGGAGCCTACGCTGCAGACCCAAAGGGGCATAAGTCCAAAAAAAAAGAAGGCTTCCCACTATGTATGACCGAAGGCCCAAACGGGAGTAAACCAGAGAAGGTGGCAGTCCTGTCACAGCAGAGGCCTTCGTCTTCCACAAACCCCGCCCTGATTCCTTTCTGCTCGCAGGTTTGCTGTCCTGGCAGCCCTGCCGGCACGGGTTTATAGGGCTCCTAACTCGCAAACCTGAATCCCTAAGCCCTAATCCTTAAACCCTAGGCCCTAGTCGCCAAACCTTAAACCTTAAACCATAGAGGAATCATGACTTGCGATTACTTCGGGGCTTGGGGGCCCAAGGTCCGGCGGTTCATAAAGGTGTTGCAGGGTCTGGAGCTGATACTGTGGGGCCCTGGGCACTTTCAGATTCTAGGGTTTCATAAGGTTTTACAGGGCTTGGGCCAAGAACTTTTAGAGCTTCGCAAGTGTTCAGAAGGCTTTGTAGGGCTTAGCATAGGATCTCACAGGGTGAAAGGTTTACAGGGGTTATCGGGTTCGTAAGGTTGTCTCAAGAGCTTTGTCCGGGTTTCACAGGAAGGGTGTAACAAAAACAGACCCAGGTTTCGACGGGCATATTCCAGTATAGTTCTACGAGGATAAGGATTTTCTCCTCTCTGGCCGTCGCCGATGTCCTTTCAGCAGCTGCAGTAAGACTAAGGGGAGCAGATCATCACCGACGGCACATGCCACATCAACAGTATGGAAGCGAGGTAGGGCGGTAGCAAATCGAGCAGCGATATTGTGTTTTAAATTTGAAGCATGTTGATGATGCTGTCGAAGTTAACTGCCGCTGACAGTGACGAAGACGGGAGTGAGGATGTCAATGCTGCTGATAGGCTGATAATAAGATGATTGCAATGATACTGTTGACCCTGGAGAAGATACGGATGCTGAGCGACGGTGATGGTCGTGACTATGGAATGGTGACAAGGGTGAGTTTGTTGGGGGCCGTGACAATGATATGACATGCTGTAGCACTGTATGTTGTGATGTGATGTGATGTGATGTGATGTGGTGATTGTGGTATGATGTGGAATTATGTGATGTTGTATGATATTTTCTCATGACATGACATGGCATGACATGACATGACACGACCTGATGTGATATGATGAGCTGTGTTATTATGGTATCAAACGGTATACTATGGCCTGATATGGTAAGACATGTTGTGATGTGGTGTGATATGCTGTGAGATATGAGATGGTGTGGTGTGATATGACCTGGTCTGACATGACATGTGACCTGCTATGTGTTATGACATGGTATGACACGGCCGCGCCGGGAATCGACGGTGCGATGTCGAGGATGATATTTCTACTTTTCGTTCTGATTGTTATGGGAATGGATGGGGGTGAGATCTGCAAAGGCGACGGCCGTTTGTAATAATACGGACTGTGAGATGCTGCTGATGATGATGATGATGATGATGATGATGGGGAGGAGGCTGAGGAGGAAGAGAAGGAGCTAAGTGTGAGGAGCGATCATCGCTTTTGATTGCCATGGCAGGTACCAGAACAAGGCCAATATCTTCGCATGCGATGAGTGGGCTGTTTACAGCAGCCAGAAGGCAGGGGATGTCCGTGAAATGTCGATCGCCCGAATTCATTTATGCAAGCGAACAGAGATATGGGTTGGGCTGGCATAGCATCCACTGCGGTACTTGTTGAGTCTTTGGGTGGGAATACGAAGCATTGATGACTGTACGTAAGAGTTGTCTGTCCTTCTGCTATGGATATAGCTTTGCTGGTACTTCGACAGCCAGCGTGAGGCATAGTTACGATCCTTGCCAAAGCAGACTGCGCAGGTTCAGGTGGTGGAGGGTGCTCTGGAGTCTGCAGTGGTCGACTCCGACCTCAAGTGCGAAATGGGCCGTGGCCTTCAATCTTAGTGGGGAAGGGCCAAGCGCCAAGCATGGGACCTTCAGACACACGATTAGTTCGCAAAATTAGGGTCCCTTTGGAGGTCCCCGAAATAGTCACCAACATATGAAGGATCCCAAAAGGTCCCCGAAATAGTCACCGACATATGAAGGATCCCAAAAGGGACCTTAATTTAGAGAACTACTCACATGTCCACGTGGTCCCGTGGTTCTCCTCCTGCTCCCCGCTCTCCTCATCCTCATCGCCGAGTCGTCCCCATCAGCGTCATCACTACCAGCAGCATCAACAGTTATTTTGGTTGGGCCGACACTCATGGTGACGGCCATTCCGGCGAAATGTGAAGATCGTCAATGCCGTCCTCGAACTCACTGCTTACGCCATGACCACCACTCTTTCCTGCAACCCACATCACACCACAGGTTCATAAACGATGACACGGATCACCGTCATCAGCACCAGCACCACAGTTTGGGCTTCAGGTGTGTGCGAGTGCTGTAGTGGGGCCTCAAGCTTCTGCTCTCGGGTGCGCGCCTTTTGACCGTATTCTTGGGGGATTTTCGATGGCATTAAATGGTGCCTGAACCTGAACCCTAACATGCTGAGGTGGAGAGTTCGGCACGGCCCTGAACACGGAAATCTTCTTCAAGGCCTCCGCCTCTGGTTAGGAGGATTTCGCATTCGCATAGAGGGCATATTATAAGTACAAGCATTGAGGTTGAACTTGCCCGACACTCAACCGACATTGGAGTGTCCTGTTGGCAGAAAAATTAGAGGAATAGATAGGCATGCGAGTAGTGGGCCAGTCCTTAGCCGCTGGGTGACTTGATGATGCCTTCCTGCCTGTGGCAGCTATGATCTCTTGCAAGGAATTGCTGTAATGACTTCTCAACTTCTGGGGAAAGTATCCTGGTCGGATCTCAAGAGGTTGCAAGGCCCAGGATTCATCATGCCAGGACTTACCACGATGTGTGAACAGGTGGCGGGAGAGGTACTTGCCATGCGCAGGTGTGGGACAAGGTCTACGAGGACAAGCGCTACCTCTTCCACGAATGGATTGTCAAGGCAGGGCCCCTCCCTTGATGAGCTGTCTGAAAGAGTTGCAGCAGCTTCGACCTTCTTGAAGCTTGGGTTTGTCTGCTCTGGGCGGTAAAGCACGGTAGAGGAGATCCCCAAACTAATCTGCCCCGAGCAGGTCGATCCAGATTCTGCTTTCTTTGTGGACCGCCTGCGTGTGACGGCCCCTCGGCAGCAATTGCAGAGTGGGCTGTCGGGAGTGCGGAAATTGCGCTGCAGGCTGAATAGGTGGCCTCCACCCCGAATTGCTCGAAGTATCGGCGCAGAGCCAGCAAAAGCAAACAAACGTCCAATTCCGAAACCCTGAATAAAGCGAACCCTAAAGCTGAACCCCTGCACGTTCAGGTTGCCTACTACCACGACATCAAGGGCGGCATCTACTTTAACAACTGCAAGTTCGGCATGCCAGGGCCCCGGTGCACAGATCCTGCGGTAGGTCTTTTTTCAAGTCCATATGTTATGTTCCTCAAATACTCTGTATTTATCTATATACTTCATATACTATATATTGTACCATATTCTACTATATTGTATGGTCTATTATGAGCGGGCCTGTGGTTTCGGTCCGAGAGAGGATTTGTGCTTGGAAACATGGCAGCCTGCAGCCTGGGGATCAACAACAAGAACGACAAACAAAGCCATGCAACATTGCGAACGAGGACAGCAGAACACGGCCACCACCAACACCAACACTCACACCACCGCCAGAAGCAGCAGCAGCGGCAGCAGCAGCAGCAGCAGCAATGCCAAAGCAGCGGCAGCAGCCGAAGCTACGACAACCTCCACGATACCGTGACGTCCACAACAAGCATAAGTTGTACTTGTACTACTGCAACTGCTGAGTACCTACTGCCCCTTCTGGACTCGGACGGATGTTGACGGCAACGAGGAAGACGCAGGCGACCGCGAGCAAGACGACCACAACGATTACGGCGACTTGTGCTACCAAGAGAACCAACAACAACATGAACAACAACAACAACAACAGCCACAGCCACAGCAACAGCAACAGCAACAGCAACAACCACAACAGCAACAGCAACAGCAACAACCACAACCACGACGACGACGACGACGACGACAACAACCACAACAACAACAACAACAACAACCACAACAGCAACAGCAACAGCAACAACAACAGCAACAACAACAACAACAACGACGACAACAGCAACAACAACAACGACCACGACGACGACGACGACGACGACTACTACTACAACTACAACTACTACTGCTGCTGCTGCTGCTGCTACAGTAGCGACTTCTCTTTTTCCCCAGGCACGGGCCCATCGAAGTCTTCTCACAGAATGCCGTGGAAGCCTGGCGAAAAGGCCGTCGGACTCGATGAAATATTGGTTTCAGCATGAGGAGTCGCAGGTGCAGGTGCTGACGTGGAGTGTGTGCGTGTGTGTGTGTGTGTAATATATATATACATATATATATGTGTGTGTATGTGTTTTGTACTTATTTCTCTACATTTCTATGTAACCATGTGTATGTGTAATATATACACTATATTTTATCTATTTATTTATTTATTCATTTGTTTATTTATTGATTTACGGTCTGGCTACCTACATGTCGTCTGTCTATCCGTCTGTCCATCGATCTGTTTGCATTTAGAGAAGTAGAGTAAACTAAATGATGACTACAAGTTTTGGATCTGTGTAAGCATAATGGAGGCTTGGGTCTACCGCCAGCTTCAGTTTAGGGTGTGGGCGACTGATGCTTGTTTCATCATAGAGTGATCTCTGAGCTTGGGGTGTGGAGGACTTGTCCTGACCTGAAAAGGGATTCTGGCCTTGTAGGGCTTAGGGCTCTTAGGGTTTAGGGTTCTTAGGCTGCTAGATTATTTTAGGGCTACAGATCAGTTATGTTTTTTATGGTTTGGGATTCGGGCTTGGAACTCTTACAGTTGTGAAAAAGTTGGGTGAACCTAGCGTTGGTTGACTCCACAGCAAGGTACCTTGGTCGCAGCAACCTCTCATAGCGCCTCCTGCTGACGACTGTTGCCATGTGCGTTTTCAGATGTTGAGCTCGGCATGTTTTGAATACAGCTGATGCCTGGAGACTTCCATAAGGATCCAACAGATGATCCAATGATGGTGATGGTGGTGATTCCCGCCACGCGCTGCTTTTGGATCATGCCTTGCATTCTCTGGTTTCTAGAATTTTTCCCTCCTGTGAAGTATCGCCTCGGGGAGGTCGCCACCACTGCGTGCAGCACTTCAACAGGCTCTGCTCTGGACCCTGCCTTTGGGGCGAGGACGGAGAAAGGGCCGGGGGGCGAGGAGGGGGGTTGATAAAAAATGCTTGTTCTTCTTGCACTTCCAGACGTCACCACTCCTACCCACCTCAAACATTCCTACACCCTAGCCCTACTCCTTAAACCCTAACCCCCTTTCTCTAGGCAACTTCCGAAAGGGAATTTGATGTATAGGGTCTCAGCCAAACGTTTGCAATTGTGAGGCCCTAGCCCCTGAGCTGGTTCAGATACCACAGATTCTTCCTGAATAACTTAGGGGCCCAGAATAGGGGCCCAGAATAGTGATGAGAATAGAAATAATGACACGCCACCTTCGCACTGTGGGAGGACATGTTCATTGACCAGTGCCTGATGAAGGCACCTTACTGCACTGCTGAGTACCGCCACCCCATGCCATTTTGCAGCGGTCCTCGAGTTCGCAAGTCTTTGATCTTCAGTCTCAGACGACCCAAAGACAGGGCCTGGACCCCAAAAGTATGTAGAAAAATAGCCTTTGATGGGTTTTGGGCCATTATTTTACCTACTTTTGGGGTTTAGGGGTTCACTGTCTGGTTCAATCTAAGGATTGGAATCTAGGAATGTCTGACAGCCAGGTGTTGGAGGTGAAGCGTGTCAATGATTGGCAACTCGCTTGCAATCGCTTGCCGTTGTTGGGGATCCAAATATTTTTTGATTACGTTGAATGAGACGGTATTATGGAACGTTACATTACATTATACAGTAGTACATGATATAATATTAGGTTCTATTCTGATATATTGTAGAATCAGACGCCTGGGCTCTGAGCTTGTGGAATCAGCATGCCGCATCTCTAGTCGGCGAAGATGGCGGTAGCTACGATCCAGACTGTCAGTACTCGGTTTAGAGTTTAGGGTTTAGGGGCGGCACAGCCAAGATGGAGCTTTAAGTAATCCATCCCCGGAAAGCTTGCAGGACCCGAAACTCAGCTCCTCAAATCGCCATATGACACGTGTAGCCTCGGGGTAGGATTTATCGGGTGTGTCTGCCTGAGTGAAGTGAGTTTGTCGTGTGTAGTAGATATGGATAGCAGGGCTTACCAGCAAGTGCACTTCTTTTCTTCGAGATGCGGCATGCTGAGGAACCTCATCAGCGAAGCTCACTGCGATTCTTCAGTGGTCAGCTCAGTTTGTAGCCGAGCTTGCTGAGAGCTTTACCAAATATTTGCCATTACAATGACGATACAAGCAGTACGACTACATTACTATCTGTTCTTACTCACACTGCACTTCTTGTCGCCCAAACTACCAGAATTTTTGTTGACAACTTCTATGTGCCGTCAGGGATGGAATGTATAGCCAGGAGACAGATCTTTCGTGTCTCTTCGAGGCCGCACTTCCTAAACCCGAAGCTTCAAGCCCTACTGGACCCTACACTAAAAAAAAAACCTTCCAAACCCAGAAACCCCCAGGGCCCTAGGCCCTAGCCCCAAAAAGGGGGCCTCCCCCCTCCCACTGCCCACCCTAAGGGGGCCCGGGCCTTCTCCCTGAGGACTGGCCCGAGTGTCGAAATGGGCGCATCTGCTTCCATCCCTTCAAAGACCTGGTTTCCTACAAAAGGCCCTCCTTTCAGGGGTTTGGGGCTTAGGGCTTCGGGTTTGAGTATGTTTAGGGTTTAGGGTGTAGTGTAGGGTTAAGGTTTGGGGTTTAGGGTTTAGGTGGTGTTCGGGTTTAGGTTTTAGGGCCTAGGGGCCATGGGTGGTTGAAGAAGCCAGCACTGTTTGCTACCTCTGCAGAGCATTGGTAGTCCGAATGTCCTGTTCTTGTGATTTCAGCTCATTTTCTTTCAAGGGTATGCTTATACCTTTGAGAGTCAGGAAACAAGTTGTTCGGGCTTCGATTGTTTTTGCTACTAGGATCGCTGCGTGCTGTTGCGTGCGCCCGTTCGATTCGAGCATTGAGGGTTTAGAGTTTAGTGGGTTTGTCAGGCTTGGGTACACGTCAAGAATAGGGTGTTGCGGCATGTTGTAGTATACCTAATATATCGGGCACGATAAAGGAATACCATGATTAAGTATTACGATCCCCTTATCAAACCTTCAACCCTACTTAGAGGATAGTCTGGCATGGAGCTGCGTGCGCAAGAAGGGTCAAAAGATACTAAAACCATAGAACGAAAACCGAAATTTGAAGCCTTGGAATCCTTTAAGACCCCAAGCCCCAAAGTCTAGAACCCTAGCCCTTAAGCTGGCGGCGATCAAAGCCTTGCCGAGCGGCAGCGCAGGTGCATGGCAAATGCCACTGCCAAGGGTTGGTCGGCTGGTGGCCAAATCATCGCCTGAGCTGGCAGATTTCGTGTAGCATTGGTTTTAGGTCAGAGTCTCGCGTGTCTGACATAGAATACTACACACGATGTCGGCATCTGCGAGACATTCTCAAGAGGCTTGCTTAAGGTGCCATTCTATGTCGGCATAGACGAACGCTTCCCTCCGAAGGCCTGTTTGGAACCTTGTGTCGGAGGTGCAGAGCAGCTGCCAAAGAGCAGCTGCATGTTTCACCCAGTCTGACCTTGGCACGGCTGTTTTCGCGGCAATGCACGCGCGCGCCTGTGCTCACACGCGACACAGGAGCATCGGTTGGCCGGCCGATGGCCTCATCTGCGTAACGATGCAACAGGGGTATGAATGTGGCATCTTGTGTCTAGAACTGGCGAGAACAGTAGCAGTTGCGATATCAGCAATCACTAAGAACTGACTGTGATGAACTGATGAAGCAGAAAAACCATCGCCTGTTGGTGTTATCTCAATTGGCCCGATGATTGTTGTTGTTGTCCTGAACGTCTCTTGTAATATTCCAGGACCGTTCGGGCATGAAGCCTGCAACCTTCAGCTGTGAAAGCTGAGACAGATTTTCCCGCAGCTGCTGGGTACTCTCCAAGCATGTTCCCGCAAAGAGGTTGCCACCAGATCAAAATGCAATACGGTACACGCAGTTTTCGTCCACCAGTCTCTTACAATTTCTGAAAACCTGCGCTTGGTACCCACAGCCCCAATCCCACAGCCTCAAGCCCTCGCAGGCCACTGCGAAGTCGGACAAAGCAATGAAGGCCTTGCATGGGATGTTGGGCTTATGTGGCTTTGGATTTCAGGTTTAGGAAATTTATGGTTCATTGCGTAGGGTTTGGGGGATCAGGCACACCACCGCGAATCACAACAAACCGCCCCCACGACTGAGGGTTTACCACATAGTCCGTAGAACCATGACTCCTATTACTGCTGCCGCTGCGGCTGCTGCTTTTGAAGACTCCCTGGATGACCCGGAGCTCCGACTGCCCCAACTTGTGTAAGTCCGAAAGCTGGCATCTCTTGTCTGATGCTTTTCGCCATGAGCTAATAATAACACTAACAATAACAATAATAATAATTAATAATAATAATAATAACTGTATATTCCTTAATATGCTGCAGGACCGCGTCAATGAGAATCAGCAGATGAGGAGGCCCTCTCGGCCAGGGAGGTCATCGTTTTCGTGATGAAGAGGAGGAGTTGTCAAGGGGCAGTTAATAGTAATAATAGTAGTAGTAGTAGTAGTAGCAGCAGCAGCAGGAGTAGTAGTAGTAGTAGTAGTAGTAGTAGTTGTAGTAGTAGTAGCAGCAGCAGCAGCAGTAGTAGTAATAGCAGTAATAGTAGTAATAGTAGTAAGAATAGTAAGAATCTGGTTCACCTGTGGGTTCGGACCATTGGGGCGTGATGTGGGATAACGTTGGGATACACGGAATATCTTGTCAGAAACGTTGGACGGCTGTACGAAGCAATATGCCACAACGACATCTCGATAGATCCACTTGAGAAGCAATGGATCGGCTCGGTTCAGAGCACAGGCCCCAAAAGTTTAGGGTTTAGGGTTTAGGGCTTAGGGTTTAGGGTTTAGGGTTAGGGCTGCGTTGCCGGAAATTCGCACCGAAACCATCCCCACAACTTCAAGTTGTGTCAGTTAGGAGCCTTTTCCTTCCCGGGCGAGGGGCCTACTTTTACAAGTTGATCTCGACCCAAACATTGTCAGACCGGACTGCTTGCAGGCGCTTAGAAAATGAGCTCCGGGAGACTTGCAATCAGCGGCTTGGTCCTGCACATGAAGCTCGTTGTTGCTGGTGGCGGTCCACCGCAGGTGGCCCTTCACTTTCGGGTTTTGCACTCCGACCACAATCAAGAGCTTGGGGCCAGGGAACGTCCAATCAGCGGCTCGTAGCTGTAAGTTTGATTCAGGACCAAGGAACCTTAAGCCTTCTGGGGCTCTAGGGTTTGAGGCCCTAGACCGACGAAGGACTCGCATGTAAACTCTGTAGACGACTCTTGGCAGAAGATCCATCGAGATCTTCTCGCTGTGGGCTATGAAACTATTCGTTCTGATCAGCAGCTCAACGCCATCAAGCCTAGAAGCCTAGATAATTGCCAACTGAACTGCTACATAAGGCTCCTTATTTGCTGTCGTATACCCGAAACCCTGTTCCAGCGACAAGGCCCCCTGGTTGACGGGATCGGGTCTTGCGATGTCTGCTGCCGCAGTATGAAGCATGGGTCATGAGGGCTCAGGGCAGAGGTTTCCGAAGGCAACCCCTCAACATCCCCAAAAACCAGACCCCCAAGCTCCGAATCCGAAAATCGCTGGCCTGGATTTTGAAATTCAACCTGCTGGGATAGCATTCGCGATAAGAAGTGAAAACTTATTGAATGCTGACAGTAAGTTCTCTGAACTTCACAGTACAGACGCAGACCGCTGTAACAGTAGAAACCCTAAACCCCAAGCAGCCAGAGCGGTGCTATACGAGCTCCGAGGATAAACCTTACGAAGAACACCATTCAGGACACAAAGTCCGGGGCCCGGTCGGTGCACGATCTAGTACGGCTGATGATATAAATCCTGCATTACCCCATAATAAGGAATCCATAGTCTAGGATCCTTAAGGCAATGCAGGATGTATATCACCAACAGTATGTAGAGTGCAGGGTTTAGGGGCGTAGGGGTGTACTGTTTACTGGGTCCTTGTTGGATACAATTTTACATTTTTGTTATAATAAAACCCTAATAAGGATTAAAAGTGATCATTTTTAATATAGCCCCAACAGGGAACCAGTTTAGGGATTCAGTGATTTCAGACTCTCAGGGCTTTTGGGGTTTTAGGTGCAACAGAAGGCACAAGGAGCTCAAGTGGTTTCGAGTTCTGACAGGCTTGGAGGGTTTTCTTCCTTAACCCAGAGCCCATGACTTGAGCTGTTTTTGGAGTTTGGGGTTTAGGGCCCCAATAAACCCTAAAATTCCTAAAACGAGGCTCTACGAGTATAGAATCCGGCGGCTGTGCCGGGAGTGGCGGTAGAAGCTCCATAGAATCGGTCGCAGCT